CCTCTCCCACCTCTCCCCTCCTCTCCCACCTGCAGGAAGCTGTCCAGGGACAGTGGTGCTCATTGGCTGGAGCGCCATCATAAGCCCCCAATGGATAAGGTTGGGCTACCTTGAAGCGCAGGTCCCTGTGCCCCACAGACCTGCCCTTTTGGGCTGCATCAGGCCCCATGGCAGAGGGACACTGCTGTGCGTTCGGACCTTGCTTGCTCACCATGTCTTTTCCCTTCTGTTGCACACCTGGAGCTCCCAGACCCCAGGGCCGGGTGGAATTCAGGCCGCCCCTCTCCTGTGCACACATTGCTTACTTGTGGGTAGGTCAGTAGGTATGCTATCTGTGATCCTCGTCTAAGGATGCCTGTGGAAAGTGGACCCACACACTGGACCTGTGGAACCTGGATTCTGAGCTCAGGATGGCCACTGGAAGGGAGGGGAGGAGGTCCCTGCAGCCTCTGGCTCCCAGACTCGGGAGTAAGTGCTACGTGAATTTAATGACCAGCTGAACTCTGGACAGCCTCTTCCAGCAGAGTGACCTGGTGACTCGAGGCAAGCTGGAGAGCACAGAGTCAGAAGTCCAAGGAGGACATGAAAGACTTCATCCAGACCCTGTCAGACTGGCCACCAGAAAGAGCCCACGGCCCTTACACCAGCAGAGAGAGGAGCTCCTTGCTCGTCCCCCGCGCCAGCCAGCGCCCTGGCCGGGTCTGCCTCTCCATTCTGCTTGGAGGACTGGGTTCGCACTGACTCATCAGATGAGGCAGACGAAGCTCTGGAAAGCTCCTCTGCCTCTGAGCTTTCTCACAGAGAAGGCTGGGTGGTTTGACCCAGGTGAACGTGAGTCATGAATGAATACGGCGAGTTAAGGGTTTTCATAACCATTTTAATCATTCACTGCGTCTGAGACTGAAATGCGGCACCACACAGGAAGGCTGCCGACTGGGATGGCTCTCTGCTAGAAAAAGAGGAGTGCAGGGACAGCCACGCTGCCGCGGAGGTTCTGTGGCGCCCGCTGCCTGATCACAGGTCCTCCGACTCGGGCACCGTGGTGTCCTCTGCAGACTCGGCAGCTACCACTATGGGAAGATTCTCAGACACCCACCCCTTAGGAGTCCTGTTGAAGGATCGTCGGCCAGAGAGGGGGTTGGCAAAAGCCATGAACCTAGGATCTGTCAGCAGCAGTAGCTCAAAATCTGGAACTTTGAATTTCACCACTTTTGATGCCTTTTCAAATCCTCCAAATGGGGTGGCCACTCTGTGGGAAATGGAGAGAAAAACAAGTGACAATTAATATTCAAAGTTAACAGGAAGCAGTTCACATTCTCACGGTTGTGTGAGGATGGTCCTGCACTCTCAGTGCAGTCTCCAGGCTGGGCCTGCAGGCCAGCTTTCCTGGAAGGACGAGGTCTTTAGATGGAGCTGGGCACATGCTGAGTTGAAGTACAGTTGCCCAGGCCTCTGCCTGAGCCCGCAGGAATGGCCCTTACCAGTG